AGTTTGATAATGCTGCCACTACCATCATGAATCATTCTCCTGAAGCTTGGGATCACATGCAGTTCAAAGATGTAGCAGTCAAAGTCGCTAATGTGGAGTTGTACTACAAAGCTGTGCACTTCTACTTGCAAGAGCATCCTGATCTTATAAATGATCTTCTTAATGTGCTTGCACTTCGTGTGGACCATACACGTGTGGTTGACATAATGCGAAAGGTTTACAATTGTCCCGGAATATTCTTGTGATATTATTACATGCGCTTCGTTACTCGGTGCATCTCTGTGGAGATTACTATTCCTTTTGGTGACATATATTGCCTTTTTGGGTTTCAGGCTGGTCACCTGCTTCTTGTGAAGCCATACATGGTTGCAGTTCAGAGCAACAACGTGACTGCTGTCAATGAAGCTTTGAACGAAATTTATGTAGAGGAAGAAGATTATGACAGATTGCGAGAATCCATCGATATGCATGATAGCTTTGATCAGATTGGACTTGCTCAGAAGGTAGGCGTAATTCTTTATAATTTGTGCTGCTTCTTTGTTAGTGAAGTCTGATTTCACAAATGGCCTTGGCATATGTTTGAACAGATTGAGAAACACGAGCTTCTAGAGATGAGGCGTGTTGCTGCTTATATTTACAAAAAAGCAGGTAGATGGAAGCAATCCATTGCATTGTCAAAGAAAGACAATCTTTACAAAGATGCCATGGAGACTGCCTCACAATCTGGGGACCGTGAACTTGCAGAGGAGTTGCTTGTTTACTTCATTGAAAAGGTATCAACCTCAACTTCAATACATGTTTTTCTTCAAAATTAAGGCATACTCTGTCATTACACTAGTGAGTGTACATCGTTTGGAACCTATTATCTTATTAAGTTGGTGTGTTGCACTGGAGCCTTTGGATGTTAGTTGGTTCTGTTTGGAACCTACTAGAATTCACAAGATGGATGTTGGTTCCGTTGTGGACTTATTTGGTTTGAGGTGTAAACCTTGTAGTGAAAATGTTTTCTTTAACTGACTAGAGAAGGAAAGTGGAGAAAATGGAAAAATTATACCTTTTTTCCTGCGAATGTCATTGAAAGTCGAAGAAGTGAAAGTTTACAATGAAATACTAGAAGGTGATGCCCCCCCCCCCCTCTTTCGAAGATTTAATTTTGTAGGGGATTGCATTGAGCAAGACCAACTCAATTTATTGACATGAATTAGCATTATGTGGATTTTTCTAAATTCATGGGTGCTTACTTGGAACTTCAAGTCGTGTATGAGTTTTGTTGAAACCTAGACAGAGTTTTCAGTTTTCTGGCAATTTTGTTGGATTTTGTTTTCCAACTTTATGATGGATTAATACTGCCCTATTTTCAGATTGTTATTTATTGTTTGTTGCAACTATGGACTAATATGTCTTGATAAATCCTGTGTTGGAAGTTATTTTTCTCATGAATAATTGTAGCATGCAAACTTTTCAATTAGACTTTCCTTGAGTCGTATAAATTTGTAGTGTACTAATGTTAATTTGTTTTTTCAGGGAAAGAAGGAATGCTTTGCATCATGCCTCTTCGTTTGTTATGATTTAATTCGCCCGGATGTGGCTCTTGAACTTGCCTGGATGAACAATATGATTGACTTCTGCTTCCCATATCTGTTGCAGGTTTGTTTCCTTCCTAGTCATTTTGTCTATTAAAGAGGCTAATCTGCCAAATTTTTCCCGACTTAGCCTGGGTTTTGACAAATCTGTAGGAAGAATTGAAGCTCTTCTCATAAAAATTTCTGACCTCTGGCTCGTTTTTTCTTCTACATGGATGTTATTTTTAGTCGGCTTATATTATACATATGGAAATCATTAGCCCATGTCCCTTTTACCCTTATTTATGTTGCATCCCTAAGTTGTACCTAAAAAAAATTCTCACCTTGTCTAGTTTCATCAACCTTTACATTTTATTTATTTATTTGGGGGTTTCTAGGGGCTACCTCAAAGCCTTGAGCTCTGCTATTGCATTCTTTGATATGGTGGAGCTGGCTTTGGCTCGTTGACATCTTTTTGCATACTTGAAGTTGCCTTCTAACCTATCCCCGTTCTTGCAGTTTATCCGTGAGTACACAGGCAAGGTTGATGAATTAATCAAGGACAAAATTGAAGCTCTCAGTGAAGTTAAGGCTAAAGAGAAGGAAGAGAAGGACGTACTAGCACAACAGGTTTTTGCTTTGTAAACTTAATTCCTATTTTCGTGTGGTTTTCAGACATGTTTAATTCTTTCCTTTAGTACCTGCTTTTTATTAATCATCTTTTTTCATTGCAAAATCTGATAAAAGCTTGTTAATGGTGTGTTAATTGTTGCAGAATATGTATGCTCAGTTGCTTCCTCTTGCTTTGCCTGCACCTCCCATGCCTGGCATGGGTGGAGGTATGGGTGGAGGTTTTGCTCCACCACCGCCAATGGGCGGGATGGGGATGCCTCCAATGCCGCCATTTGGTATGCCACCAATGGGCTCCTACTAATTTGTGGATGATTTCAAGTGAAAATTTGCAGTGAATGATATCGCTTCATGTTGAAGGGGAGGTTTTCGATTGTCAGTGGTTTTGCACTTTCATGGTTTCTCCCCACTTTGCCCTTTTATTGAAAGAAGTTTCAAGGCAATGACGGTCTTAGTTTGGAAATAATGTCAGTTTTTTTTTTTTTTTTTTTTTTTTTTTTTTTTTTAATTTGTTGGGTCTTAGGGTGTGGATATATTCCTTTGTAATATTCTTTGGTTAGCTGAGGCATTTTTTTGCAGCTGGTAGGCGGCAAGCTGAGGATTCTGTATTTTGTACTAAAAAGGATGACAGAAGATGATACGCAACATTTTATACAGATTTTCAGGGGTTGATATGATGTTGGGTTTGTGGTTTTTCTTTTTCCCAGACTTATGTATTAGTTAGCTCACTTTCTAATGAATTGCTTTTCCCCGTTTGATTTTGTGCGGTTTTTGGTTTTCTTCTTCTTGTGCTGGAATTTCTTATAGTTTGTCGTGTAATTTTTTGTTTTGCATTGTCCCACTGATGATATTTGTGTGTTTTAGAGTTGTGCTTTTATTTTGGCCAAATTTGTGGATCATATGTGACCGGTTTACATGAAATGAACCTGTAATTTCTGTTTTGCATTGACCTACTAATGATATTTTATTGGAGTAGTGCTTTTTATTTTGGCCAAATTCATATCATCTGAGAGATCCGGTTAACATGAAATGAACCTAACGGCCATCTTTTTATCCCCATTCAATGGTGCAATACTCTTCCCACTTTGAGATGATGGATAGCCTGTTTTCATGGTCGTGTATGTTCTGGCACGCTCAAATTTCTCGGGACTGCTAACCGGAGATTGAAGTGTTGTGTATCCAAGTGAATGGTGAATTAATTATGAAGCACTATGGCCATGCTTGTTTGGGTGGACATGAGCTTGGGATTGGACTAATAGTCTAATAAAATTATTAATCCGATGTTTGGTTAAACAATTGAAGTACGGATTAATTATTTTAAACTTGACTTTTAGTTAAGATAGGATACATAATCTAACGGATTCGTAATTCCAGGACTATTAATCATGGGAATGTTAATCTAATCTATCCAAACAAACATGGCCTATATGTATTTGTACCGACAGACCTGTGATGTATTGGTATTAGAAGGTAAAAACTATTGTATGGGACGATCCATCATGTTGGCCACTCAGGCATGTAGCTTCATATAAACCAACAACTAACTTCGTTTTAAGTTGTGGCCAGTGGAGGACTTCGAAATCAAGGTTGGGGTGCCGAGGATGTCCATGAGTAAGAGCATCCACTCCAAATTCTTTAATTTTTTAGTCAAATTAAAGTTATATCATTATTTTAGCTACTCATCTTTTAACACTTACTGTATCTAACTTATTCTTATTAAATATTATTTTCTTATTGTGTTTGTTAGTCTTTTTATTATTATTATATATATATATATATATATTGTAATTTTATACATTTTAAGTGTATGATATTTTCACTAATATGCACTATTAGTATAAAAAAAAAAAAATTGCTGTTGACTGGTTGGTTGATCGGCTGGATTTTCGAGTGGACATCCGGTAACACACAAGTAACGATGAATAGTGAGATTGATGCGGTTGATTTTTTTGAAATTTTTAGTTAAAAAACAAGTTTGAAGAGCTTAATGCAGATGCTCTAACAAGGGGGCATTCTTATGTTCAAAATTAGGGTAGATTTGGAAAGTTATTAAAAAATTATTTTTTTATGAGTAAAAAATATTAATGTATCATTTCGGGAAATTTTTTTTAAGGTCCTTGATATTAAGATTTTATAGCATAAAGAACATCAAATATTTTCATAATGTCTAAGGTCCCTCAACATCAATCTAGAGAAATTTCAGTCACAGAAATTCTGTCCAGAGAAAATCTCTCCAGAGAAATTCTGTCCAAAGAAAATTGAAACTCTTTCCAGAGAAATTCTCTGGATTCAAACCAGAGAAAATTGAAATTTCTCTGAGTACCAAAGAAATCCAGAGAAAATTGTGGAGAGAAAAATTGTGTGGCTATCCAGGAAAATTCTCTCACTTCACAAATTTCTCTGGCTCTTTTCTAATTTTTGCATGCCATTTATAGTACAAAATGCCAAAACTCATCATCTCATCTTTTCAATCACTAACCTTTATAAAATACATCAAACCTTTGATAGCAATGGCAAAATTTAACAACTTCAATGACATCTCCATTACCCAACTGCTATAACATAATTATGACAGTTCAAAACAACAATTCTATTGAATAATACTACTTTAGATTCTCTCTTCACCATTGCACCATTACTCTCTTTGTTGCTGCTGTGACCGGAATTATGAACAACCTCATGACATTTGGGTTCTTCTTCTACCTTTGCACTGTTGTCGCCATTCTCCCTTGAAGTATCATATTTGTCGTTGTTACCATCATCATTTGAATTTCTCTGACTTCGGAATTTCTCTGATTTCGGAATGTGTTTTAACCAAATTTCTCTGACTTCAGAATTTATCTCCCGAGATTAAATATTAAAGGTGGATTGTTAACTCTATCTACCAATATAAAAATCTCAAATCCATTCTTACATATATCATAATCTAGAACATTAGATTGAACTGAAGACCATACTCTAGAAATTAATAATGCCAAATCCATTCATTTTAAATCTATAAATCCAAATGCAACCCAAGTGAATTTAGAAAAAGGGAAACCCCTAAAATTATTATATCCAATAAACAATCGCTTAAACATGACAAAGTTGCTAAAGTTCTACCTTCTATAAACAAACTATTATTCAATAAAACATTGCTTGCTTCAAAAGACCAACATAGACTCAACCTCACCAACAGGTGAAATACAGCAAATGTAATCACTGGATATTTTTGCTTTCTCAAGAAATGTTACTAAAGATTTCATTACAGTCATTAATAAACTGTAATCTGTAAGGTTAAAATATTTAGATCCACACACATGAGCAAAAACATGAAGAACAGTCAGTGTCGAAGAAGTACCCAAATTTTGCATCCTGAAAATGTTGTATGAAGCCTCACATAAAAACCCAATGTGGTCTATTGTTGCACATATTGATGCTAAAACAATTGCCCCAGCCACTAACTGATGAGTTGAAGCCATTCCACGTGACAAAATTATTTCTTCTTCATTTAGAAAGATGTTGACAATTGAACCACTTTTGGACAATGACTCCGAAGATACATTACTACAAACCAGAACTCTTCTTTCTAGAAGAAAATCCTCAATGAGAATAAGCAATTCACCAGAGAAGTATAATACTGTAAAAGCGCTTCTTGTCTCCACATCAGACATCACTGTGTATAAAGAAAATTGCAAGTTCTTAAAGGGGGGAAAACATGAAAATGGTGGCTACAAATAAAATATAATAGAAATGAAAAATCACACAAATTTTAGAAACCTGTGTGCAAGCATCTGGCAAAAGAATCTAATAAGAAGGTAGAATCTGCACTTGATACCTTTCCAAAATTCTCCCAAGCCATCCTGGAAAAATTGTGCAGTAAAACTGAAAAGAATACACATGCCTTCTCCCTGTAAAGAGTAAACAAAAAAACACACGAAAAAAAAGGAAAGAAATTAAAAAAATAAGAAGAAATAAACAGATTAGACCTATATGCTACCGTGCACCCGCGTGCGCCGTTCGTCTACCGTGAGCCGCGCGTGCGCCGTTCTGCTATTGTGCATCCGCGTGCGCCATTCTGCTAACATACGCTGCCAGCCCCCTCTGCTACCGTGCGCCGCCCGTCCTCCCTGCTAACGTGCGTCGCTGACATCATTTTTCATCCTGCTGACATCATCCCTACACAGCCCACCTTTCCTAGCTATTTTCGACCTTCCGGACTCACTGGTACACTCTGTTTTACCTAATTTTGCTCCTACAGGTCTCTCCCTATCTATACTGCTCTACTCCACATACTTCGCTACATCAAAGGCACCCTGTTCCATGGCCTTCACTACTTTGCTTCCTCATCTCTTGAACTGCGTGCCTTCTCTGATGCTGATTGGGCTGGGGATCCTACGGATCGACGCTCCACCACGGGATTTTGTTTCTTCTTAGGGGATTCTCTTCTTACTTGGCGTAGCAAAAAACAATCCCTCACCGCCCGTTCTAGCACCGAAGCTGAATACCGAGCCCTTGCTGATACTACTCAGGAACTTCTCTGGCTTCACTGGCTCCTCACTGATATGGGTATTTCCTCTTCCGGCGCTACCGCTCTTTATTGTGACAATCAGAGTGCCATTCAGATTGCTCACAATGATGTTTTTCATGATCGCACCAAGCACATTGAGATTGATTGCCATTTCATTCGACAACATGTTACACGTGGTACTGTTCATCTTCTCCCCATTGCTTCTGCCGATCAACCTGCTGATATTTTCACCAAGGCTCATCCTCCTGGGCGCTTCCGTGATCTCGTTTCCAAACTCAACTTGGTCGATGCCTACCCTCCTTGAGTTTGCGGGGGGCTGTTAACATATAATATATCTCCACTACCATGTATACATATAATATATACCCCCACTAGACCTTGTATCTGTAAAGGCCACAATGTGTAGCTGTAAAGGCCACCACTTTCACTTTAGCTTTAGCCTATCTCAATGTAATTACCAGGCATCCGATTCCATTTGTCTCCTTCTCCTCTCTATAAAGAGAGGGAGCTCACTCTTGTATTAACACAGAAACATAATATAACTACATCAATTCTTCAATTTAGTCTCTCTCTGTTCTCTTCCTCCTTACTAATCTTTCACTAATAATTCACCAAGAGAGGCAACAAAAGCAATGAGTCAATCCTAACTAACAGACATAACTAAATTAATATAGAAATCTTTCAGTGGTCTCAAACGAAGTTAATCCTCGGACAAAAGCGCCGAACAAAAATAACCTAACTTTTTTGACAAAAGCCCCCATGCATGTTCGTTCAGACCCTGGATGGAGGTTGATTTACCTAGTTGATTTGAAGGGAGAGGCGCTGGCAGTGGTGCCAATGGCAACAGCAGCAGAGGAGACGAAGAAGAAGGTTGAGTTTGGGGATTTGGAGGAGTAGAAGAGAGCAGCGAGAGAGACACACAGAGCGTGAGATATATATCAAATTCTGTGACAGATGGGAGGGACCTTAACATCAAAAAAAATAATATTATAAATCTCTTTCATTACAAAATTTAAGAGAGAGATTTTAGACTAATTTTTTCTTTTTTAAAATGATGACAATAACAAGTGGATAAAAGATTATATGTTAAAAAAATGATAATACTTTTGGCTTTTTAGTTCTTAATTAATATTTTACTGTAAAATTTTCTAGTATTTTAATTTTTAATTTTTTAATACACTTAAATTTTGTGAATTTTTTTAAAAGAGCATTCACTAAATACATAAATATAAAAATTCATATATATATTTAGGGTTGGTTTGACAAGTTTAAAATAATTCAAAAAGTTAAAAAATTATACAAAAAACAAAAAAGTCATTACTATTTATAAATAAAAAATATTAAAAAATATTTTTATAATACAAAAGTTTGATCAAGCTCTGTCAGTTGTACTTGTGAAGCAGGAAGGCTTTATACACTTTTTGGGCCAAAAAAATAATATATATATGTATAAAGTCACAAAGTTTGATGGTAATGTTGGGCTCTTGGGGGCCCACTAAGGGTTCCGTTTTGATAATTCAAACCGTTTAATATGTAAAACTCGTCGAGTAATATGCCTATAAAAAATCACGTTGATCGGATATCGTTAACTATATGATCAAATCGGTTTTGTATAAACAAAACGGATGGTGTGATAGTTAACTGTTGAAAAAAAACTAATCTCATCATATAACTATCGTTATCCGATCAACGTGATTTTTTACAGACATATAATACTCAACGAGTTATACATATTGAACAATTTAGATTATTAAAATGAGACCCATGATGGCCCCCACGAACTGACCATCACTGTCTAAATACTTTGCTCCGAAGGAGATAATTATTTTCTGTGTAAGACATGCTGGGTAGCCGTACAACCAATTAACTTTTTTTCACTATACACTTTATTTATACAATTTTTTATTACATATTTTTTTATAAAAAGATAAAAATTTAATGCAAACATTCATTTTTTCTCAATTTTTTAATTCAAAAATACAAAAAGTTCATTTATTTAGGATTTCTAACTTTTTAAGATTTTGATTAATATAACGCCATCATAAATTCACTGGTCTTCTTTCAAGTTTCAAAAAGTAAGATGATGTTGAATTTTTTTGAAACAACAATTATTTAGATCACTAAAAAATATATCATTAATAATATTAATATATTAAAAATGACAATAAATAAAAAAATAAATAAAAATAAAGCATAAAAAATAGGAAAGATCCACTTGCACATCTTTAATGCTCTTTTTTTTTCAGTGCTTCCACCATTTTTCTTTTTGAAGTGAGATAATGTTGAATTCGATGCCTCAAAAAAGTTGATCTCATCGTTGACCTCCTGGAAACCAGAACCCTAGTGTCTCAATTCAATGTCGTGGAAAGCACTGATTTGGGGTCTCACATGTACAATCTTTGCCCTAATTCTGAAATTGTTGTCGGTTGTGATAATCGGAGGTCGGACGACGAGAAAGAGAGCTGTAGGGTTCTTCCACCCCTACACCAACGACGGCGGCGGCGGAGAGAGAGTTCTGTGGTGCGCCGTAAAAGCCATCCAAGATGAGCGTTCTGATCTCGACTGCCTCGTCTACACCGGCGATCACGATGCTTCCCCCGAGAGTCTCATTGCTCGAGCCATCGATCGCTTTGGAGTCCAATTGCTTTACCCTCCCAAGGTACTTTCTATGTCCTTCTCCAATTCTTAATGTAATTTGATGAATAAGGACCTAAAAGTGAGCTCCAATTATATAAAATTTGATTTTGATGAAATACATTAAATCAAATTTTGTAAGCAATTGGAGTTTTAGGGTAAGTTTGGAAATTTTCAAATTTGATGGAAAAAGGAAGAATTGGAGTTTTCCATAGCTTTTTAACCAAATTTTCACTCAAATTTGATGAAAAATGAGAGCAAGGATTGGAAATGCTTAAGAGATTCTATAACATCCCAGTTCCTGTATCTTACATGTTTGCGTCAATGTGTGGTCAAATTCACAGAAAAAGAATTCCATACATTCACAATGTGGAATGGTTCAAGAAAGTTTCCAATGCCATTTTCAATTACAATTGAACAAGAAAAAAAAATAAATAAATAATGAACACATTCGTCGATTTGTAAAAAAGTATCCAGCTTTAATTTCTTTGAAGTTATTAAATTAGAGAACCACGTGCATAACTGATTTGAGCCACAAATAGGAAATGACAAGAAATTAACCCAGAATCGAAACATATTGAGATCTTGAACTTGACCGCATGGTAATTTCTAGAGTTCATGTCATTGTTCTGTTCTCAAGCAACATTAGAAAAGGAACCTCAGCTAAAGAATCTTACCTCATTCTTGGCGACAAGTTATATAAAATATATGATTTACCAATTAAAAGGAAAATTTAATTTGAAGTTGGTTACTAGTTTGAGAGTTAGCACAAATGCAGGATTTGGTGCGACATCTTATAAAAAAGTGAGGGGAACATTTTTAATCTATTATAATTGGGGATACTATCAACCGAGTCACTGCTGTCCCAACATTCTATATTTTACAATGATCAGTGGCCTTAACATCAACACCTGTGGAAATGAGATTTCTCTATTAGTCCTTCAATTGCCTTGTGAGGCCACACTTTTTTCTAGCTCATCAGTCTAATTTCCTCCAAAATCATAAAATTTTGGATCGTTTTTTATTTGTTTTTTAAGGAAATTGGCAATCAACCCTACATTGACGTATTTTTATTTTTAATTGTTTTTATCTAATTTTTTTATTCAATAATACTTTTTTTTTTAAAAGGGGGGGGGGGGGGGGGGGGGGGGTGTTTGAGTTTCATACACTTTGCTTACTTATTTCTTGCTCTCTGTATAAGGTGGTGCACTTGCACAAAAGGAAGTGGATTGAAGAAGCAACTTACCCTCGCTTCACTATGATTGGTCAAAGCTTTGGCTCAGTTTATCTCTCATGGGAGGCTTTGTCCAAGTTTACCCCTCAATATTATTTCGATACTAGTGGATATGCTTTTACCTATCCAATTGCCCGGATGTTCGGATGCAAAGTTATTTGCTACACACATTACCCAACAATCAGTTTAGACATGTTATCTCGTGTGCGTGGGCGGAGATCATTGTATAACAATGATGCCTTAATTGCTCAGAGGTTTGTTTTGTACTAGTTATAAAACACTTATGTTTGAAGAATACTCGTATAATAGGTTTCTTCAAGAATATAGTTTCTAAGGGGATTGCAAAGTAGATGTTCCTCTAGCCTGTGTTTGGGCATGGGGCATAATTTACATGATACGATGAAAATATCTTTGTTTGAGAAAAGATATCCTCTAGGCCATGAAATCAATAATAATTTTAGGCTTGTTAAATCATATTGAGACCTCTTCCATGCTAAAAGATTGCTGGTAGTGCAACTCCAATCTTAGAGCATTCTTATGCTCTGCCAGTGTTCTTGTAGATATTTGTGGTTGTTCAGACTATTCACTGTTGGCTTTATGCAATTTGTAGGATCTTTGTGTTTTTTTTTGGGTACTCTTGATGAATTTATTTGGTCAATATTACGGTCCTAGCTTATGGAAGTTTGATAAGTTCAATCACCTTTATAACTTGTTTTCTTCTGATCTAAACCTTACAAAAAATATTTACTTTTGTGGCAGCATTTTGCTATCTCAGTGCAAAGCCATCTATTACTTGTTCTTTAGCTGGATGTATGGGATTGTTGGCTCTTGTGCAGACCTTGCAATGGTGAACTCTTCGTGGACCCAATCGCATATTGAAAATCTTTGGGGAATTCCGGACAGAATTAAGCGAGTCTATCCTCCTTGTGATACTTCAGGGCTTCAGGTTTGCATTTTCTTAGTTACTTCAAGTTAATCATGCTCTTTGTGTAATTTCTTGCATAAATCTGTACTATGGTCCTGTGACTTGGTGCTCTTGCATAAATCTGGATTTAAAACTGAGTGATGACTGATTACCTTGGAATACTTGCTCAAAAAGAAATGGGAACAAGAGTGAGGGCAAGGAGATATGGCAATGTTTCCTTTTAAATATTTTCTCTATAGTTCTATTTATTTTTTTCAAAATCACAACCAAGGCCAAGTAATTATCTACAAAGAGCTCTCTCTTTCCTGCAATCAAGTTACATGGTTTCATTAATTCTTCTTTGCTATTGAGGATTTGGGCCCCATTGTTGGAGGTGGCTACTATTTATTAGTAGGATTTTTCATGGGGAATTGATCCCTCATTTATTTGGCCTTGTGAGTTGGTTTTGTTTTTCTTTGTATTGTTGTGTATATTCTTCCTTTCTTGGATGGAATCTCTTTCTCCTTCATATACTCTCTCTCTCTCTCACACACACACACCGTTGATAACCTGAAAATACTATGAAAATAGAGGTAAATGAATCATGAATAGGAAGTACCTTCAGGAGTGTGTGCCCAACATGGACAGGTGTGCATCTTAATACCAATATATGAATGGTTCATGTGTAATCACCCTTTTGATGCTGCCAAACATTGAATAGAAGAAAATCTGTCTGTTCGAAATTAATTACAAGGCATGCCAACATATGCATCGAAATATTGCGCTCCTTTCTTCTATGGTTTTTTTTTTTAATTTGACTTTAATGTCCTTCAACATATAGTTCTTCGATTCATTTTTATATATTGTGGTAAAGTCCTGTGGATTCTAACCAGCTGCTCTTGTAACAGGCGCTTCCATTGGAAAGACCTGTGAAATCTCCAACAATTATATCTGTTGCTCAGTTTCGTCCAGAGAAGGTAGGCATTTTTATACTCTTCAGAGGTCATTTTTGGTGGCCTTTCTTAGTCCTACTAAGTTACTTTAAACTTGATTCTTTTGTATCAGGCACACACACTACAACTTGAGGCATTTTCAGTTGCCATTAGAAAATTAGATGCAGACACGCCTAGACCCAAGCTCCAATTTGTGGGTAGTTGTCGGAATAAGGCAGATGAGGAAAGATTGCAAAATTTGAAAAACCTAGCTATTGAACTGAAGGTAGAAGAGGACGTGGAGTTCTACAAGAATCTGATGTACAGGTTTGTAACATGTCACTTTGTTCTTGTTGTACTTCAATGGCCATTTAATACATGCGCTAATGAATTGTACAAAATTGTTTTTTTTTTTTTCTATTTTTTGTAATCTCATGAAAATTTCATGCTACATCTTCTGATATCTCCTGCACTAATTGAGATTGTTGGTTGGCCTTTCTATCTTTATATTTTCTGAAGATTTTTCGTTTTCTTCTTTTTAAATCACCACGTTGAAAATTATCATGCAGCAATGATCAGATGCATCTTGTGCAGTACATTTGGTGCACTTGCAATGAAATCATGAATCATTGTGATTTCTAACCACTGGTGTTAGCCCAGTGGCTTGAACTTGTGTACCTCACTAGGAGGTCACGGGTTTGATTTCCCCTTCCCTCCAATGTGAAAAAAGGAAGAATCATTGTGATTTTCTGCATTATTGCTAGGCCATAAACATCCACAACAATAATTTTTGTCAAAATTAATCATTGTGGTTTTCTGCAATGTTATTTTTGTGTACATTTAAAATCCAATAATGCAAACAAACTTGGATGACGTTGGTTTGTTCTGTTTTAACCTATGTGATGGATCTTAATACTGAGACTCGGACGTTATCAACCAGAATCTTTATCTGAAGTATGAATGGTTGAGCTTGCTTGTATTGGTTTTAGGAAAGTTCAATGAGTTATTTGCTGAATGTATTTCTGTACTAGATTGATGTGGAATGGTAGACCCATCAAGATTGGCTGATATAGTGCAATGGCTTGTGGTGGATCTGCATATCTTTGAAAGGGCAGTCAGTAAGTAGACTACGACATTGAGAGAGTTACGGAACAGCAGTAGGTCAAGGACATTAAAATCATTCCTTACTGCCTTTTAAAAATCTTGATTAATCTTCTAATTTTTCAGGGAATTGCTTGGCTTGATAGAATTTGCCAAATTTGGTTGAGTAGAGCTGCTGGCTAGAAAGAATTATGCAAATTCGGTTAACTAGAGTCCAGAAATATCATTGCAGATTATCCTAAATTTCCATGACTCTTTTGAATATGCTTAGAAGAACAGTTGCTTGCTTGTTCCTATGGGTAGATTTACTTTTTTTTTATTGTTCTATTTGAGTCTTGATTTTTCTCTTTGTACTGCAGGGAATTGGTGAGACTTTTGGGTAGTGCTGTTGTAGGGATCCATTCCATGATAGATGAGCACTTTGGCATATGTGTGGTGGAGTACATGGCCGCAGGTGCCATACCAATTGGTAGGCAATTTGAAGGAATTTCTTTTAACCAATTTACTTTCTCAACGAATTATTATTATTTTCATGGATGTATAATTTTCAACCTTTTCAGCTCATAATTCTGCTGGCCCAAAGATGGACATTGTGTTGGAAGAAGATGGACAGCAAACTGGATTTCTTGCTCAAAATGTGGAAGAGTATGCTGATGCCATCCTAAAAGTTTTGAGTATGCCTGAAACTGAGAGGCTCAAGATGGCTGCTGCAGCAAGGAGACGGGCTGGCAGGTTTTCCGAACAGAGATTTTATGAAGATTTTAAATCAGCAATTCGGCCAATTCTGTCAAATTCTTCCCAGTGAGGGAAAAAGGGGCTGGCATGCAAACTTGTTAAGGCTAGAGTGATCGATCTCTACCTTTTTATTTTTTTAATTATTTTTTTAGAAAAGTGGAGAAAGTTTTGTCACTGTAAAAGGATTAAGTTTTAAATCAGTTTTTACTATAATCAAAGAATTTGAGGAGGTTAAGCTATTGGTTTGGAAATGTGACTTGAAAGCTTCAACAATGGCGGACATTGAAAAAGACAAGAACGCAATTTTATTAGAAGTGGAAATTACACAATACAATCTTCACAACTTTGTTCTCAGTTTTGTACCCAAAAAAGATTCTATCTAAAGACTTATCTTCTTAGGCTTAATTAGGCTTCCTTTGGGCTTTTGCTCAAAAGTTGGCTAGGTCTCATTTGAGAACAGATTTTTTTAGTAATTTTTTGACTTTTTAGTTAAAATATGATTTAAAAAAAATTAGTATGAGTGGGATGATTTTTTGACTTTTTACGAAAAAATATGTAAAAAATAAAAAGAAAATAAAATTTTTAACTTTTTGATATGAATAATTGATTTTTTGATTTTTTTACTTTTTAGCTAAACCGATCGCTCTCAAACTTAGGCTAAATGTATATTACCATGCTATCAAATACTTTGATACCTGTTTGCTCTTTTCTTCTGTTTTTTTAATTTTTAATTTTTTTCCGGTTTTGTAGTAATTGAAAGCTTCATATGGTTGTCAGATGTTTATATGATGGGGTGTTTGGGAAGGGTTTTTTTTTTTAATTTTTGTTTGCTAAAAGACAAATTAGTTACAAAATAAAAAAAAATAAATCTAAGCAAAATATCACATCAAATTTCATAAACATTTCACTTTTTCTGTCACAAATATCACATCTAACTAAAAAAAATTAATTATCTTCTTAAACACACAAATTTTTTTCTCCAATAATATTCTACAACTAAAAAAATCCACTTTCCAAACACTCACAATGTAACTTTTCAGTTTTTAAAAGAACTAAATGATTTGAATTCAACTTATTAAAATTTTATTTAAATTTGACTCATTATATAAATAAATTAAATTTGAATACATTTTAAAACTCGGCAAGTTATCAAATCAAAATTAAATAACATTATACTCGGTTTGATAAACTTATATAAAAAAAATAACGCTCAATTAGTACACATTAATGTGCGTTTGGAAGGAAAAAGATTGAATACATACCTAACTTTTGACATAATGCACAAGGTGATTATATATTATAAAAAAATAAGTTACTCATTTTCAACTTATTGAATGATCAACTCATTAGGTAAACAAATCAAATTTTTAAACACATTTTAAAATTCGTTAAGTTTTCAAGCTAATATTTAAATTGACTCAGCTCGTTTAATCTTACTCTTATCTGCGTTATGTCCGTAAAAGTAGGTTAATACGATCGAATCACTTTAATTCGTTCTTCTATGTTAATTCTTGTTCTTTAATTATCTTTTCCATTTTGCTTTATCTAAAATTTAACAAATCAAACATTCATTGCCAACTCTTTCTTCTCACAATGATATGGCACCATGTTCCAAGAGTGTCCAAAGAGCATGAACTGTCAATTTGATGTAACAGTATATCATGCAATGCACCGCCCTATTTTTGCACATTTTCTTTGTGTGACACCGACAACAAGAAAGATTTTTCTACATTTTTGGAAGAATAGACGGAAAAATTAAAAAAAAAGAAAAAGAAAAAAGAAAACCTACAGCACATAATAGCAAGAAAAAATGAAAGAGTACGGATCTGTTGAAAATATAAATAATAAAATTGTTCTTTTATTTATATGTTTAAATTTTTAGGTGAATTAATAGTTAACAATTTAATATAGTATTAGAGTAGGAATATTATGTTTGAATTTCGTCATATAATAAGTTTTAATATTTAAGTTGCTCCACTTTGTCCCTTCTTTTTTCAAAAAAAAGAAAGAAAAGAGTTTTATGTTTTAAATTATCTTTTCACCACACGATGAATCTCTTTGATCTGATTATGTGATAGAAAAAATTTGAACTAGAAGGATAGGAGAGAAGGGAACTAGTGATTGTTGGCCAATTCGGAAAGTATTTTCTTGAAAAACAAAATATTGGAGATCAAATGAAGGGGTTGTTTGGTGTACTTGTTTCTAGTCTTTTTTATTTTTTACTTTGAAAATTTATGTAAGGTTTTGGTGAAGTTTATACTTGTAATTTATGAGACAAAAATAACTTGAATAAGTTGAAAAAAAATTGATTATCGTGAACCAGAGAGAAAAGTGCTTTTAATTTTAATTTTTTGATTTATTAACTTTTACTTTTTTAGAAATTGCACTAAACAAACTAGAAGAAGGGAACTATTTGCCTTTTTGGTGCATTTTTTTGTAAGTTGAAAGTGGGTAACAAAAAATTAGGAACCAAAAACACATCTTCCCAACTTTAAAAAAATTAAATTTTTAATTCTTTTAAAAACTCATTTAAATTATTTTTACTGAATAAACTGTATCAAATCACCAAGGATCCTCTAGAGTTTTTTTTTCCTAAAATTTCCTAAAGTGGTGTGTTATATGGGTGAGATTTAATGCTAAAAAATTGATGTGACTTGTCATTAAATCTCAACCATACAACACACCATTCTAAAAAACTTTAAGAAAAAAAAAACTGTAGAGGATCCTTTCTCGTATCAAATAGTCTCACATAAACTCTTTCCTCTCCCCTACCACATATTTGTGAGACAAAGACCTACAAAAATTGGGTGGTTGTTGATCAGTGGTCTGTATCAAACTTTTAAATCCTCTTTATGGTAGTGAGCCTACAAAGATAAGTGTGATTTGGGGCCCCTGAGCCAGTACATTTTTTGGGTGATTGTAATTGAAAGAGAGCTTTTTTGTTTTCTTGCGAAGAGGACACAATCTCGACACAATCCATGCCTCAAATTTCCAAAATGTATTAAAATGAGTAGCCTTTTATTGCTTTTGGAAACATTAGGTTAGTTATACAGATATCAATTCTATCATATGCATCACTCAAAAGATTATATGCTTTCTTTGAAAAAATATAGGACACTCTTATCCATATTGAGGATATATAATTGTACATCCTACGTCTGTCTTTGAAAAAATTACAGGGTATTCTGTTTGGTTGAGAGATTCGAAAAGAGATTTAGAAAGGGAAAATAAAAAGATAGGTAAAATGTGAATAAAATATACATATATTTTCACTTAATTTTACACATATTTTCTCTTTTTTTTTTTTTTCAAATCTCTTCCCAAATCCTTCAATCAAACATAATATTAGGAAAATTTTAATATGCACGCCCTTTGAAAGAGATGTATCATATGCCCTTTCAGTTATGCCATTTCTTTTTTAATTATGATTAATTTTCTTATTTAATTATGATAATATTTTGATTATATTGTTTCATGTAGTGTTTGGTTATAATTTTATTTTTTTAGTTATGAATAAAAAAAATATAAAATTAAATATATATTTTTTAATTATAAGATACATATATTACACCCTCTCAAATCAACAAGAGTGTATACCAAGAAGTATGTACCCTAGTCTTCTCTTACTCCAACTTGCCAAACAGAGAAAGGGAAAATAAAAAGATAGGTAAAATGTGAATAAAATATACATATATTTTCACTTAATTTTACACATATTTTCTCTTCTTTTTTTCTTTTTTTTTCCAAATCTCTTCCCAAATCCTTCAATCAAACATAATATTAGGAAAATTTTAATATGCACGCCCTTTGAAAGAGATGTATCATATGCCCTTTTAGTTATGCCATTTCTTTTTTAATTATGATTAATTTTCTTATTTAATTATGATAATATTTTGGTTATATTGTTTCATGTAGTGTTTGGTTATAATTTTATTTTTTTAGTTATGAATAAAAAAAATATAAAATTAAATATATATTTTTTTAATTATAAGATACATATAATACATCCTCTCAAATCAACAAGAGTGTATACCAAGAAGTATGTACCCTAGTCTTCTCTTACTCTTATCCATATTGAAGATATATATATTGAGGATACACATAATTGTACAAACTACTTCTGGTTGTTCAGTTTCCTAAATAAATGGTAAATAGTGATAGGAAATCCTGGTATGTCCTCACAACCAAACACCCTATTTCCCACCCAACAAAACCCAATACCATATACATGAACCGGGTCAAAGATATTCTCTCTTTAAAATTCTTGTTCTTCTTTTTAATATATTATTTGAGATTTGAATTTTTTAGTAATTTTTTAATTTTTTTTATAAGATGAAAAAAAGTGATAATAACTTTAAAAAAACATGATTAATTGATTTGTATGACTTGACTTGCTTTTCTATTAGATTTTCATTTGCCTTCGGTACAAAATTGTAGTTATTATGTTAATAGTTTTATGTTGATACTTGACAACTTTTATCAATTCATGCCAAACACAATATTTTGTGTTGAAATTTTTGACTTTCTAACCTTTATTTTTATTTTAAGAAATAACAAATTAACGGTATTTTTAAAAAATAATTACAAATTTAGGATAAATTTTATAAACTCTAGTGATTAAACTCATAAACTTTACCATAATACTGTAATTATTTTTAGAAAAGACAATTGACTTTTAATTTCCCTTTTTATTTTTATTTTTATTTCCTCTTAATTTTTTTTTTGATCTTTTTAACCTAAAAACTAAATTTTCAAAAGAGGCTTAGGACTCGTTTGAAAATTGATTGTTTTAATTAGTTTTTGAACTTTTACCGGAAAAAACATATAAAAAAAAGTAAAGAAAGTAATTTGATAACTTACAGTAAGTTTTTTTAATTATTTTAACTACTCCCCAAACAAGGGCTTATTATAGAAGGAAAACTCTTAGGTCCCGTTTGTTTTCAGAGGTAAAATAGAAGGAATTCATAATGAGGAGATTAATAGTGAGGGGATTAAGTAAAATTGTGTTTGTTTTGATGATAGTTGTTAGTGTAGGAATTGTTAAATTATTTTTATATAAAATAATAAAATAAATAAAAAAATATAAAAAATTAAACATTAATGTTTAAAAAAAATTCCCAATATGTAAAAAATAAAAAAAATAAAAAAATTTCTAATCCCCTCAATATTTTTTTAATACCACCTCCGTCTCCTCCATCCCAATCCCCCTTTCCAACCTCCAGCTTAATCCCCTCATCCATCCTAATTTCTTTTCCAATTCTACAAATAAACACAACACTAAATAACCTCACCTCCATCCTAATCCCCTCCCATTCATTACACTCCAAAACAAACGGGGCCTTAGGTATGCATTGAATACAACATGTTTGTACTTTTATTATGTCATTTTGTAATTTAAGTTATATATTTTTGTGAGATGACTTAAATAAATTTATAAAATTTTGTGTAATTTTGAGTATTTCAAAAAATTTATGAATAAATTAACATGAATTTATATTCAATTTATGTATTTTTATTAGATCACTTATACAAATTTATAAAACGAAAATGTCTGAGGCCTCGAATCTGAGGCCTCGAATTTGCCTCGAATCTCATTTTTTTTTTCTTTTTTTTTCTTTTAACTTAAGACAGTTAGTTTGGTATTTTTTTTTTCTTTTCTTTTCTTTTTGCAAGGATAGTTTATGTATAGGGATGTGCTAAAAAATTAGATATTTTGCAAGTGAGTTGGGTTAAACTGATTGAATGATAAAATTGACTGATAAATTTTTTTATTTTATTTTATTTTATTTTATTTATTGGGTTGTGTTTTTTATTTTTATTTTTTTTAAAGGTAGTCATATGTAGGGGTGTGCCAAAAAATTAGACATCCTGCACCAACTCATCATACAAAATTATATGGAATTAATAAATTTTAACCAGCAGTGATCAATCAATTAGGTTGGACCGGTTGAGTGATAAAATTGACTGATCCAAAATTGACTGATCAATTTATTAATTTTATATATTTTTATACATTTAATTTTCTTGGTACATCCCTACATATAACCACCTTAAAAAAATAAAAAAAACAAAAAAAATAATACACAAAGTCAAAAAAAAAAAAAAAAAAAAAAAAAAGCACTTTCGAGGCAAATTCGCGTGGCAAATTCGAGGCCTCGAATTCGAGGCCTCTATCAGTGCTCTTTATAAAAACTTATGTAATTTTGTGAATTGTGCATATAGTGTACAAGGTTGCAATTCTCATTTTAGAATCAATAATGCTACAGACTTCTAAAAAACACAATCCACACTCACCTGTGATTGGTACAAGAAAAAAAAAAAAAAAATCTATATCATTTTAGTCATGAAATTCTCAATTTTGAGATTCCAAGCATTTTTATTTTAGAATGCATTAGAATAAAGTAAAATTTTAACAATAAAAGATCCGGTGCACTGAAGACTGAAGTCATGAGGAAATTAGAAAAAAAAAAAATAATAAAAGAAAATGGAAAAATAAATAAATCATGAGATGCTCTATAAAGTGAAGTAGAACTAAATTTTTCTAGAGGAAACAGTAAAAGCAAATCCTAGTGGGGTCAATACTATCTTATGACAACCTGTTTAACAAAGCTCTATCAGCTCCTAGAACTAGAAGTTTTTTTCATAGGTGGTCCACCCCCCATCATCATAGGGCTAATAATTGTTGAAGAGTTTAATGTATTGCACCAAAAATTATGCTCATTTAGATCAAGTTCCCTTACTAGGTCAGTCTCTAATTATGCTACTAATGTAACACATTTTTGTCCATGATCATATGATGAATCGTCTATTTTACGGATGTCAGAAAACTCTTTTTTTATTTTGAAATTACTAATTAATTATTATTTTTTTAACAAAAAAATCTTTTCAACTATATTAGACCTATTCTTAGAATAAATTTTAAATATACAATCACATGTAAATCATAGATGCAATATAAAATCAAATCAAATTTAAAATATTTGAGTTTGCAGTTCTTTGGAATAGAAATCTTACTATTTGTTTGTTAATAAAGGGTATATTTGGGGATTTAATTAACTACTTGTTTGTTAAATGAAAATGTAGTCATGTGACGGGACAGGTGGATAAGGCCAAACTTGATTTTCATTTGACTAATTGAAGGCTACTAGATATAACACCAATCCACATCAAGATATGAAGATTAACTCAAACACATTATCAGTGCCAAGTAACAGTAGCAATAGAAGAAAGGGTGTGCCATAAATAAGCAGAGAGAGAGAGAGAGAGAGAGAGAAGAGAGATTGAGGGAAAGTTTGATTGTTGGACATGGAAAAAAGTGACTTGTATTCAGAATGGGCTGATGAGGAGTACCAAGCTGCAGTGAAGAAGAACAAAAACTACAGCTCCTTTGTAGTTCCATGGCCCTCTTGTGGTGATGGTGAGGCTTCTATTTCATCCCAATGTGTTGGACTTGGTTATGATCATCATCATCATCATCATCATCATCATCTTGATCATGATCCTTCATGTTCATGGTCTAATATGCCCTTTGGAGTAGTAGAGGCTAAAGAAGATGGAGCTGCAAGTGGTTCCAAGAGCCATAGCCATAGCCAAGCAGAGAAGCGTCGAAGGGACAGGATTAATGCACAGCTTGCTACTCTTAGGAAATTAATTCCCAAGTCTGATAAGGTAACCTCCTCCCTCTCTCTCTCTCTCTCTCTCTCTCTCTCTCTCTCTCTCTCTCTCTCTCTCAACCCAATTCATGTGGTTAAGACTCAAATATGGATTCTTAGACAACCCATTCCCTCTCTTTGTTTTTTGGATTGCAATTTATAGTGCAACTTTGGGTTTTCATTTCAAAACAAAATATACTTTAGAGAATATTATAAATGTTTATTGATTAGGGAGCAACTTCTTTCCAGTTTGAGTATGGACTAAAGATTTGCAATTCAGCCCATGAGACTCATCGTGACTGTTATTTGAATGATCTGAACTGTTTATTTTGGTGGACTTGCTTGTAAATCAATTATTATTATTTTATATATATATATAAATGATCTACATATAATTTTTTACAAAATAAACAATTTAGAGCATCAGAATGGAACCCACATAGTGAATTCCATGGATTAAAAGTGCACATCTCCCAGACAATACTGCAATATGTACAAGGCCCTAGAATCATCGGACTAGAAAGAAATTGTTTCCTATAATCAATAGAGAAACTTGTTAAAAATGAGTCTGCAATATGGTGCCCGAGGTGAAAAAAATCAATAAAATTTAGGGCAAATCACATTACAGTGTTGTCAGTAAAAAATAATTACAAATAGATGATAAATATTGTAAATATTAATAATTAAAAATATAAATTTTACTATAAATTTGTAATATTTTTTTGGTTACATGAATTTTTAATATTGTTTTGCTGACACTGAACAATAATTTCCCTTAAAATTTATCTGGCGAGAAATGCCATTTTTTTTCCCTTCATAAATTCTGGACAATTGTCTCTTCAATTATAAATGCATATATCTTAATTAATGCAGATGGACAAGGCAGCTCTGTTAGGGAGTGTAGTTGAACATGTGAAAGACCTCAAGAGAAAAGCAATGGAAGTGAGCAAAGTCCTCACAGTTCCAACAGATGTTGATGAAGTCACCATTGATTGCTACTTTGATCAAGAAACAACAATTAGTTCCAACATGAGCAAGGAGAACATCCTCATCAAGGCCTCTGTTTGCTGCGATGATCGGCCGGAGCTGCTTGCAGAGCTCAACCAAGCCCTCAGAGGCCTAAAACTCACCACAGTCAGAGCAGATATGGCCAGTTTGGGGGGAAGAATTAAAAGCATTTTTGTGTTGTGCAGTAAGGATGGTAAAGAGGGTGTTTGTATGAAGGGTGTCATACAATCCCTTAAAGGAGTGTTGAGTAGAATTGCTTCTTCAACTTCTACAGGAGGATCAAGCTATCGCATAAAAAGCAAGAGGCAGAGGTTCTTCTTGCCTTCTTCTCACTATTAAAGTCACCATTAAACCAAGGGTTGGCCGGGAAAATCCGAGGATAAGATTTAAGGTATCGAGTTCAAGTCTATTAAGGGTAACTGGAAGTTTACTTGGTCCTTAATGCCATCGCCTCCAGCGATTAGTTCTCAGTTGTTCATATATGAGATAACTTCGGTCTAATTGAGCTGGGCTGAGCGGGAGATAGCTTGGATTATATAAAAAAGAGTTACCATTATATTGTTAAGGGTTATATAGAATTTATGATAAGAAGGATCTGATAATATCATTTGTGAAATTATGAAGATAATAATAAGCGTTTTGATTGAAAATGAGAAAATCCTATTATGCCACATAGTTCTATATAAAAATTTTGTACATAGATTTTATTTATATATCATTGCTCTATTGTTAAAAACCAGTCCAATTATCACCATGTTTATAGCTAAAGAGATTTTGTGCTGTTGGAAGCTTAATATCTACATCTTTATTGTTTACATTTTGAATTTGCGATGAAAAAATAATGTAAAATTAAATGAAATATAAAATAATTGTTTTGAGTTAATTATATTAATGATTCTCAAAGTATATGTTTTGTTATACTTTATTTTCATTTTTTTTTTAATTATTCTACTTTGGCCACTAAAATATATGATATGTTAACACTTTAGTTCCTGATGTTAGTATGGTTCAAAACCGGTAATACAAGAATGGGCATTTTTAAAATTTTACATGAAATCTCAACAAAATAAAAAGGACCAATAAATACATGGTTCCAAAGTATGCATTTAGCATTTTGGTTCCTAAAATATTTGTTTTGTTTCATTCTAGTCTCTAAATCATGCATTTTCTTGTATTTTTGCTCCCAATCTTTTAATTTCATTGTACTTTCGGTGTAAAATTTTAAAAATATCATTTATTCCATTTATGATTTTGGACGGTGCTAATGGTAGGGATGAAAGTGTAATAGATCGAATAATTTAGAGATCAAAGTGAAATAATTAAAAGATTGGAGATTAAAATATAATAAAATGTGAGCTTTCGACTCCATAAAAAACCTTTTACAGTACTCTAAATATATAATAAATATAAGGCATTTCACAACACGTAACTAGGATTTTTCAAAAATTAAGTGAATAAAGTATTAACTTTTAGTTTGATTTGGTTTGGTTTTGTTTTATTTATTTATTTATTTGTTCCCCCCTCTTTCTTGGCTATTCTAGAAAAAGCGTAAGAGACAAACCTTCAGTAATACTGCAATAAAGTGAGTATTTTTTGGCTTTTTATAAAATATGGGTTGAGTTTAAAGTGACGTGGTAGAGAGGTGATGTGACTTAAATAGGATAGTAAGGCCAAGTTTGGCAACTCTTAAAAAATCCAAAAAGTCATTATCCTATTTAAATCACATCATCTTATTTAAGTCACATCATCTCTCTAACACATCACTTCAAACCCAACCTAAACCCAACCTATATTTCATAAAAAGTCAAAAAGTGCAGTCTTCCCAAACTTGGCCTAACTTTTTCACTTTTTGACTTTTTAACTTTTTTTAAACATGTCAAACTTGACCTAAATCTAATTATTATAACATATTGATAGTTTATCCCGAACATTGGCCTTGTTTGGTTTGTGTTTCTCAAAAAAATTGAGAAAAATTCTCTACAAATAAGTTTTCAAAAGTAATCAAACCAAACAAATTTTTCTAAATTTTTTTTCCAAAACTTGTTTGGTTTACAAATTTTCCAAACAAATCTCTCTCATACACATCAAATCAATCACTTTTTCCAAAATTCTCTCTCAAAATTATTTTTCAAAACATCTTTTGAAAAAAATTCAAACCAAACAAATTTTCGTACTTTTTATCTCAAAACATATTTATCAAATACAAACCAAACAAGGCCAATGTGCACCTACCTGTTCGGTTGTTGTACGAATCAACATAAGAGATAAAAAATATTCATGAATTTGGGCACATATCATATCATTGGGCCTTCGTTTGACAATGACTTTTTTAGTTATTTTTTAACTTTTTTAACCTGAGATTTTTTTGTTCATTTAGTATTCTTGATTGACTTTTTTGGCATTTTAGCTTTTGAATAATGGATTTTTTTTTGTCTTTTTGTGAGTTTTTTGACTTTTATTTGCCATTTTGTGATTATTTAGCTCAACATGTTTATCAAACAAATATAATACGATAGCTACTATATTTTCATAGTAGATTAATTATGTTGATTTAATAATTTAATTATAGTGTTGACAATTGTTGGAAATGGTAGAAAATTTTTGGGTAAAAGCAGAATTTTTTCTCAAGTTTGGTCATTTTTTAGGTGGGCCCCGAGTGTCGATTTACTCGGGTCAAAGTGGTAACGCGTTCTATGCCGCGTTGTGATTCACGTGGTATATTTTGTTGCTCAAAACCATTACCGAGTGAATGGGAAATTGAAGCCAAAGTGTGCTCCATGGAAATGGAGTTTTGGTGGAAATTCCTTAAGGTTGTAAATTGGCTTGTCTCACATTGATTTGGTGGGAAGTTTTGAAAGGGTTTATAAGGCTTGGGTAAGATACTTGGGGTGTGCCCTAAGGGGTACCCAAGTGTTTTAGAGGGAGAGGTTATGGCCAAAATGGGCTAGACCTATTGGACCCAAAAATACCACACGCGCGCGCTCCGCCTCCGCCGTCCGTTCGATCGGGCGGGCTGGGCTAGGCGCGGGTGCGTGGTTGGGTTGGGCTTCTAATCTTTTTGGGCCAAAAACATTTGAATTTAATTTTATTTTTTGGTAAAATAAAATCCAAAATTCAAATTAAACTGATTTGGATTTTCTGTACATCCAAACAGGGCCCTTCCCGTTTTCAAACAGAAATAAACTAGTTTGGAATTAATACACACCAAACAGGGCCCTTCCCGTTTTTTGCTATCTGTTTGAATTATCAACAGATTCAAATCTGTTTGAATCCAAAACCAACAGGTATCATACCTGTTCAATTTAAAACCAAGAGCCACCTTTACATCTATAAATAGGACCACCCTCATTTGATATTTTCATTCAGAAATTTCGTATTTCACCTCTGCTAATTCTTCATCTTGCTGCATTTTATTTCTGAAAGAAATAGTGTAGACACTTAGTGTGTTCGTAAGGCAAACAATTTGTAGTGCTGCTATTGTTTGTGGTAAGATCATTTCATCCTGGGAGATAGACGTCCAAATTCTGAAAGCACCGTGGAGAGGACGAATCTGTCTTAAGGACACAGTGTTAAACACTGGACTTGATCAGAAAAATAATTCGAAGAAATTAAATCAAATA